CTACAATATCCACGAACAACTTCCAAGCGTGCATTGGTGACACGATTAACCTGAAAAACGAGTATGACAAGACTTCAACATGAAATCTCTGTTTTATAAAAAGTAAACACAGCGGAAACAGTTCTTACTTAAAAACCCAAACGTCACCTACTTTTTTAAATCAGGAAGAACATAAGAATTATCATATGCCGCGCTCAGCGCAGATGCAATTTCAATTCCAAATTCTTCGCCACCACGACCTTAAATCACTGTTGCTTATTAAAAAGAGCATCTCCATATTGATCTACAAGAGTGCATCAAAATTTAACAAATATCTATCATAAGCCCTCTCTTATTTCTAAAAACTGACAAAACCGTAACTAACCTGCAAATTGTGGTGCTGCATTAGCCGAGCAGTCAACAGTGAAGTTAAGTCGGTTTTTGTACGACGGCATGTCGTCGACAACAATGAGATCTGCTTTAATGCCAATTAAGAGATCAGTAGAGCCAAGACGAACTCTTGCCGAACCATTGGTTGTCGAGAGAACTCCTGTTTCCAGAATAATAGGTCGATAATCCAAATTACTGAATATAAAAAGTACAGGTATGGTGCTAATTCAAAAGCAATCAAACAAGCAAATAAACAGCGTCTACCATCAGTTTTCTTTCTTCAAAACATAAATCACGGCTCAAAAGCTTTGATAGAAAAGACCTAACTATCTTATTCAGACGTACTGTGACTAAAACTTCCATTTTACAAGTACCTCTTGGCAAGAAGATTCCTTTTCAAACTCGGACACACTGACTACAATATATATTTCAGCCAAAGGATACTACAAAAGTATGACACTAGTGTAATAAAAAATAAAAAAAATTTTTTTGATCACCTTCGACCATCACTTCTCAAACCCTGCTGTGCACCATGAATCACAAAAATCTTTTCCGCATCACTCAACCGTACATCCATAAAGTTGAAATGCTGCGTTAGGTTGGTTATCTGCAATAATACTTCCTGATCTTAATAAAGATCACCAAAATCTTAACAGTCAGCGAATAAGTGAGACAGAAGTGGACTGGCACGAAAAAAAAACTAATGGGCGAGCAGAATTTACGGCTTCTGATCTCCAAATCTAGCCCGCGATCCGCTACAGCGTAAAGCGCGTGAGTTGGCCAGACACCAAAACCCGGTTATTTTGCATAATACCCTTCATTAAAAAGTTACCTTTGAATGGCAAACTCTTCTATAAAGTTGTTTCTTTTTTTTCCCCACGAGGGATACACGCATTGTTTTTTTTCTTGCCTTTGTCTTCCGCTTTTGACGGAAAGTAAGTTTTTTTCACAAGTTATAATGTGATTATTAAATTATCCAGGTTTTTTTTGCACAGGACCACCGCTTCCACAAGCTTTTTTTGATATCCGTTCTGTTAATTTCCGATTCCGGTGATATTGACTAGATAGTTCAAAAAATTAGCTGTCTTTTGATACCTTTGCCATTAAGGGATAACGCAACTTTTAAGCCTAGCTTTTTTGAGACTCAGTGTAGTTCTTGACTGCATTTTCATTCTCTAGTTATTTCTTTTCTAGTGTTACAATCACCTTCAGATAAGTCACGGATTGCGCTGTCCGCTGGTACTCAGAACTTCAAAGAAAGACTTAGACGTGACGTAGAGATATTAACTGTTTTGCCGTTAATGAGATAAAAAATTCATAATATATCAATCGTTAGTAAAATATTTTTATCTTCCAATTGATGGTTTTAATCAGTTAAGATTGTGTTTATGCTGTTGCGTGTTAACAGATGAAAAACTCCTTTCATGGCAAAATTATAACCTTAAAGATCATATTTCTTATTCGGTTTGTCAAGCAAAGTGAATTTATTTTCGTCAACTTGCGGCAGCATAAACAGAATCGAACTGGTTGAAACTAACATTTGTAGCACAACGAATATGATACTTGCAGTGATGTTTAAAAAAAAAAAAAAAAGTTAATATTCTTATTTGCGAAAACACTGTTCCGTAAATTAATAAAAAACTACAGATATCGCATTTTTCGGACTTTTTGAGGGAAATTATAATACCAGAAAAGAAACAACTAGAGAATGAAAATGCAGCGAAGAACTAAATCGAGAGTAAAAAACTACATGTGGACAGTTTTAGCGTGCAGTGTCGGGTAAAATTTTACGTTATTCTTTAGTTGCATGAATTTCAAAAAGTAACGAGTTTCTTGAAATATTTGACTGGTATCGCTGTTAGTGAAAATGAGCTGAATGAATGTGTCTAAAAGCGCATAGGAATGACAAAGAACTGGAACAAAAGATCTAGCTGGTCGGCAGATCACATTGTAACTTTATTTTCAACACTTTCATCGCCAAGAACAGGATATAGGCACAGGCATAATGTTTGTAAAGAGAAACCCGAGAAACAAAGTTTAATTCCATATAGTTAACCTTGTCATAAAATTAATATGCAGAATGTTAAGGTGTTAGAAGATAGCCAACCCAAGCGCTTTCAACTATAGCGAGCGGACTGCAGGGTTAGTTTGGAACTGTAAACCGCCAGATATATAAAAACTGCTCTAAAGGAAAGAAACAGGAACAAAAATTGCAGCAACCAGTTGGTTGCAGAGTTGAAGCAACTTTACAATTCGGCATCGATTTCGGGTGTTCCTGGGTATACTTAACGAACACCAAACCTTTTGCGACTATCCAACAAAGATTTTTAATCAAGGAGCATTTACTGTAACATCCTTCTGACAACCCCTAAAGGGTCCTTGATTTATACACTTACTGTAAGCCGCGATGCTTACAGTACCAGCTACGCTATAGCAAAAGTGTATAAATCCAGGGCGTTCCTTTCTCAACATTTTATTCTAAGAGACCTACAATATTGGTCTCACAAATAGATCAAGACGACGACCAAACTCAGTACTTTAGTACTCGATGTGGTACCGTTTGATGTAGCGGAACTGATAGTACACTGGACAGCTGTTCTGGTTTTGTGACCTCTTATTGCTCAATCACTCCTTGAATACTACAATCATAAAAATATTTGCGAACTGATACTTGATAATACAATCACAAATATAAAGGAACATTGGACACTTGTCCACTATCCTGATTAATATAATTGTGATAGTGGAGTTACCAGCATAGCTAAAACAACCAGAATAAATAAAAATTGGAATTAGAAAAAAATAAAATTAAAACGCACAATCAAACCTGGATTTTTAATACGAAAAATCTGCAAATTGCCAACGGGCGCAACCTGTAAAATCAAAAACAACTGACTTGGAAAAACTCCAAGAACAGAATCGCAAAGAGATATCTGAACACACAGCGAGGAACGTATCCAAATACTCAACCAGAGCGGAGCGCTTTACTAAGGAAAATTGGCTCTAATGTCCCTCCCGTTTTTTAAAGACCAGACCAGTAACAGTGACTATTTATCTGTTTTCCAAAAGCTTTCTCATGAGAATAGGTCAGGTAGCAACTACTATACTGCGGAAAATTGCTATTGCGTTTACTGTCGCAACACTTCTGACATGTAGACGGATAGGCGAATGCCTAGGCAAAGTAAACTTTAGTATAGGTTAAGGTTGAAGCAGAGACAAGAGGATTGTACAGTGCTCCTATACAGTGGTAAAATTGAAAGCTAAGTTACAGAAGAAAAGTGTAGGTTAAAGAAACTAACCTACATTGTTAAAGAATAACGGGGGGCGAATCTTAATTTCAGTGCCACTCTCAGCTTTTCTTTCGTAGCGAAACTTCTTTATCCCTATGGTAAGTTAATTTGAACTGAATTCCGTCCCAAATAAACCTATAGAATTACAGTTAATATCTCTTATCTCGAAGGGTCGTAATGTAATTAGTTGAGCTCTGGAGTTCTCTTGTATTGAAATCACTGTTATCAGGCTTTAAGGATCTACACTACTCATAGTTCCGTTATTCAGATGCTAAACTGATAGGCGGGTAAAGAGGTATAAATTATTTTATTATAAGGAAGAATGACAGATGGTAAAATAGATTGGACAAATATGAAACAAATTTGATTGCCAGTATTTACAGACACTTTGAGTATTGAATTGAGGAGATAGAGCGGAAGAATGACATAGTAAACTTCAAGAATCGGTATGCGATCGAGGTAAAACAATTCTGACAGTTCAAGATGAGCCTCATAACAAAAATAATACCGCAAAAAACCTCCTTCGAGTCGTTTTTTTCTTTTAGTCTCTCAAAAAAGGCAATATCCTTTGTTGCACAAAACATTTAGCGAAACAATTTTATTAGAGTTGAGTCCCTGAAATTCTTTGTAAAGAGCCGTCGGTTTAACTGAATTTCGACTATATTAGTTTTTTCAAAATACGTTACAAAATTTGACCTAGGTAAACATGGATAAGTTAGTTTGTTTTGTAGCCTTCTTTTGCAGTTCTTGTGACGTCACTATTTCGAATGAAAGCGTCTACATTTTCGAGGCCTAAAAAAAGGAATAATTGTAAAGAGGAGTTTCTTAACAATCTTTAACTGCGGAGTATAACCACTACCTCTTTAGTGCTCACGGGGGCTACGGTAAGTCGATTTCTATTGAAAAACCTCCTTGTGTTTTCGGTCAGCTGTGTATTGAGTCTTTTCGTGAACGAGAGGACGACGTCAGCCTATCTGCTTACATAAGAATCTACCGTATAGCATGGTAAATTTGCTTCTCGCGCCTTCAGATGTCGCACTGTTGAGCTGTAATGAAAGAGCGTCCAAAGTGTCCGTGGAAAATGCGGTTCAACGTTTTTCTTGGCGGTCTGTGTAGCAGCCTCATTTTGTTGCTAATCTTTCTAGCTGGATAGAAATATTTTACATTTTTCTCCTGGCACGTTTGATAACAGAAATGGTGTATTATCAAACGGTTTAGGAAACCTTGAACCTTTCCACATCGTTCAATTCAGGTTTTTCAACGTTGGTTCCAGTTTGGAATTATACAGGATCCTTAAGCTAATATTAGTTATTATCGAGTGTGTGCAGTAGAAAGTTCTCAAATTTATTTAAATAATCGCCTTTTGGCTTCCAGCTGTTATGGCCAATTTGTTTGGCGCATACAGGTAATGTTCCAAAGTATGGTGGCATCTGATGACTACCTCCAGTCAGAAGTATTTGATTGAGTTCCGGAAATTGTAAGGTAAGGCTCTGGGAATTTAGACGGAGGAGTAGACTGGCCTCGTCAGTGATTAACTGAGTAAACCAGTAACCTTCTTGCATCAATTTATAGCAAAACTTATGATTATTACGGTGGTTCTAAAGATAGTTTTTAGCCAGTAATTGTAAAGTACTTTGTTGAAGACAAGGTGCTCTCTAAATGCTTCACCTTCACCTGAACGCTTAGATGAATGTCCTCCTATTGTCATTTTTTCCATTGCTTCCAGTGTATTTTCAGTTTTTTTTAGAGAGTCCTCTATTAATTGTGGCACTCTACAGATGCACTATTTTTGATCTTCTACTGTAACTGGCTGCATTTTTGTCGTTACTGACTGCAGGGAAATTACAGTTCTTCTTGGCAGATTAGCAACCAGTCTCAGGAAAGATCTAGTCACTTTTTGTATGGCATGGTTGGTCGTTGCAGTGGCAATCATTATGCCAGTTAGTGCTCGGTTGGTTTTCTAAGCGTTCAGGTGAAGGTGAAGTACTGCCAAATTGCTGCAGTGATCATTAACGTTTTATCGGTGCCTGCGGGCGCCTGCTAAAGCATGATATGGAATTGACTGCTCTTGATCACTTAGAAAAAAACTTGTTTTTTCATTTTGTAGTTGGATGGTTTTGGTGGGTAAAGCAACTGCCGGCCTTTCTTCGCCAGCCGGTTTGGCGGACTGCGTTCCTGTTATAGTCTGCTTCAGCATCGGATGAGTTCTCTTTTTCATTTGGCGACTAAGGTGACAGTGCTTTAGGTCTCGTCTCGTGTCCTATACCGTCCGTGTCTAGTTGATCATATTGGTGAAAGTCTTCAAAAATTCCAGGTGCCAGAGATTCACTCCTATTTAACTGCTCCTTCGTGATTAAGCACTGATCATCCAGATTTGGCTCGACGTTCAATGCAGTAGATCCAATAAATAATTTTATGCCACTTTTTTTTCGTCCAATGTCATAGAATGCTGGTTCTATTCTGCGTATTTTTCAAAACGTTGATGCTTCAGGTCCTTAAGCTAAAGTTTGCATTGTCTAATTATTTTTCGGCAATGGTATATGGAGTCCTAGGTTTGAACTAAAGTCGACCGACGAAGCACTGGTTAAGTCAAAAGATGACGAACAGTGAGTTGTAGAGCAGAATATCTTGACAGGCCTCTTCCTCGTTGGGGTGACTGATGTTAAAAGTACCCTTCCGTATAGTTTAGTTCTTTGGTTATTTAGGCAGTCAGCATTATGACGATTCGTAAGCAGTTCCATTACCTTGTAAAACGAATAGGATGAGGCTCGGCAGCATACGACGACCGCAACTTTATTCCCTGTCTTTCATTTTCCACTTCTTCGTATTCTCTTGCTAAAAAGTAATTTTCGTGAAATATTTCCGCTTTGGGTAGTGTAGTTGTTTTAAGGAACACCAAATGACTTAGTGCAGAAAAATTGTTTCGTAACTACTGGGTCTAGATGTCGCAGAGACGCTCTTGTGTTGATAGTCCGTCCGTTATGATGTCCAAATAAGATTTAATGACTGGAAGGGAGTAACAGCGGTCCTGAATGAGGTGAAAGTTTATTTGTAAAGTTTAAATTTCCGTCTTGCTGACTCTCCTTGGATTCACTTCCTCATCGACTTGTTATTAGAAATTTTTTCTTTTTCTTTTCTGTCTTTTCCTTTTACTGCCTACCT